ACATTCCATATGCTTCTGTTGTTGGAAGCCTAATGTATGTGTTGGTCTGCATAAGGCCTGGCATTGGATTTACCCTTGAAATGTTGGGAAGATATTATAGTAATCAAGGTATGGACCACTGAAGAGCTGCAAAGAAAGTGATAAGGCACCTTCAAGGGACAAAAGATTACATGCTTATGTATAGACGAACTGATAATCTGGAAGTGATTGGTTACTCAGATTCGGACTTTGTTGGCTTTGTTGATTCATGGAAATCAACATCTAAATACATTTTCATGTTTGCTAGTGGAGCTGTATCTTGGAGAAGTGCAAAGCAAACCTTAACTGCTACTTCCACTATGGAGGCTGAGTTCGTATCTTGTTTTGAGGCAACCTCGCACGGTGTATGGTTGAAGAGTTTTATCTTTGGACTTAGAAATGTGGATTCAATTTCTAGGCGACTGAGGATATTTTGTGATAATTTAGCTGCAATTTTATGACAAAAAATAACGAAAGTGGTAGTCGAAGCAAACACATCGACATCAAGTCTTTAGCCATAAGAGAACGTGTTAAAGATAAAACAGTGGTCATTGAACACGTTAACACTGAATTAATTATTGCTAATCCTTTGACAAAAGGTATGCCACTTTTGAAGTTCAAGGATCATGTAGACCGAATGGGACTTGGTTCCTTAAAATGATTTCGTAGTATAGACCAATGTCATTAGTAGTAAAACTCTATTTTCAATAGTGATAATTTCTCATTTGTGTTGTGTACACATTCATTAGTTGAAGAAATATCATTAATAGTTGGACCTTGAATAAACATAAGGTTTATTCATTAAGCTATATGTGCTTATGTTAAGATACACAGTACATTGTAATACATGAAAGATAATGCTCGTTCTAAGAGGACATATCGCCATGATTCATGTATTTGTTTCTTACTATAGGAAATGATAGAATTTTTGGGCCAAGTGGGAGATTGTTGGTTTCTTTCCTATTTTGAGTGAGGAATTTTTGGTATCGTGAGAAAATTTTGATACCAAATAAAGTGGCCTATAAATTATGCCAATTTTGCCAATAATTGCATAATTATTGGTATTGAATAAGGTAGACTCAATAATGATAGAGCCTATAAATGGAACACGATTTTGGGCCCCTAATGCCATATATTCCATTTAGTTTTCTTACACCATTGTCAAGGAATTGAGAAGGCATTAGAAGCACTCCAATCCAAAATGTAAAGCTGCATTCTCAGATTGCACAATTGACATCAATGGCTGGAGGTATATTTTCAGTCTATTTAATTTTCGCAATTAATCTATATGCTATTTAAAGTTTATATAGCATGATTAGATTGTAAGTATATAGTCTAACAGAGCTTTCAATCTGAAACATGTCTGGAAACATAATATGCAAGGCGGTTGTGGAGGAAAGCGTAAGAAAACTTCTGATACACTAAGGCAACCTCCGAAACTCAAAGTTGTAATTCCCTTGATATGTGACTTGTGCAATGTAAAGTGTGATACACGGGATGTCTTTGATCGTCATCTTTCTGGTAAAAAGCACATTTCTAAGCTCAAACTCTAGGAAGGTCACCAAGTAATGTACAGACTACAAGGACTTCAAGCTCTGTACCCTCCAAATCCTATCACACAGACTTTATATGCTCGACCATGTCCTCTAGTAGCCCTTCATGCTTTTCAGGGTTCAAATATTCCACCCAGACTTCATATGCCTTCAAAGCTTACTATGCTACCCCTACAACAATGGATACTTGCTCCCAACCTTCCGATGTCCAATGCTACTTCACAATAGTGATCCCCAATCAAACAGTAACTGAACAAGTTGCAATTGTTGATAGATATATGCCGGTATTAATTACTTGGAACCCGAAGGTACAAACTGGCTTGAATCCTCCAGTTGTCATAAAATTGTTAGGAATTTGCTAGTTACTTTTAGGCACACTAGTTATGAAGCCATCTTTCTTTTATTTTAGTGAACCATTTTTATCGTTTTATCTTTCGGGGACAATGGGACATAAATATTGGATGGGCTGGCTTGTTAGGCTTGTGTTGCAGTTGAATGTAGTTCTGTCTTGTGAATGGTTAGCTGCTACAGAAAGGAAACTTCTTCTTGCTAGGATTTTGGTCATCCTCATTCCTAACGCTTCTTTTTGGATAGTTATTTAGAGCATATTTCCAACTTACCTGATTTAATTCTTTCATTATCGACCAAAAATTAAGTTAATCTTACACACTCCAGTTGTGGCTCTTGTTTCATTTAAGAATTTGCTTTCATCTGAATGGATTCTTCGGGCTTATGAAATGTGCCATACTGCCATCCGATAAACCCACCCTCGTTAATACTTTCACATCAAAGGTTTTACGTGCACAATTTAATTATGAGTGACAACGTAACTTGAACACTTTTATTGCTCGAATATTATGCCTTTGTTTGATTCTCGTTCTTTGAAAAAAATTCATTCTTAAATATTATTTAGACATCATTTCAACCACATATTCTATAATAAAGTAATATTACACGTAAATTCAAAACCCTTCCTTATTTTTTAGCCACAAATTTTTCATCAATACACTATTCAAAAACTCATTTTTATCATGAGAATGAGGGCTCAAAGAGGGGCTAGATAACTAACAAGAGATGTTTATTAAAAAAAATAAAAGTTGCTTTATGTAAATTTACTTATTGGTGAAAAAATAAGTTTTTAAATACATAATGTTTTATGTTTAACAACGTTAAAATTTTGAAATATTACTACAAGTTAATAGTTATTTTTTGAAAAAAAATAAATCTAACATTTGTGTTAAAAAATTAGAAAAAATTTAAATTATCTAAATATATTTAAGAATTATAAATTACTTAAAAGTTAAAACTCATTTTACTTTTGTATAGAAGTTATCTAGACATATTTGGAAGAGCATCTCCAAAAGATTCTTTAAACATAAGGTTTTCTTCATCTTAAAAAGTCAATCCTTAAAATTTTATTTCAAAAGACTCTTTGAATTAATATTTTAAAATAGAGAGTGAGTTAACTCACTCTCTATAATTAATGTATTTAAACTATTTTAATTTTCAATGTACAAAAATAATATAATAATTTGGAAGGAAACTAATAAAAATAAAAGATATAGAAAATAATAAATGCTTTTTGGGAGTAGTAAAATTAAGAGCCACTAAAATTTTTTGCCCTATAAATTTATAGATATTATCTAGATTGTTAAATATGCTCTTTGAAAATAGAAAGTATATTAAAGTTGCTTATATGACCACCATATTTTTCTTGGACAAGTTTATATGTACTCACACTTTTTCCAAAATTATTTACTCACTATTCACAACAAAGGGTGGGGACCACAACCCGTCATTTCTAAAATGCACATGAGACCCGCACATATGGGAGAGTGAGTGAAAAATTTTGTACACCAAAATTTGTACATATATATTTATCCATTTTTCTTTTGATGTACTACTTTTCATTCTACTGAATGTCTCTAACTTTTCTAATTGTCGCAGTCCTGTTCTCCATTTTTTTTTGGTCATGTTCTTTATTTTGAATCTTGACCTTCCATTAACTAGTTTTATTTGTTCCTAATAATGATTTTATCAAAATATTTAGTTAGCGTACTTTAAGATAACAGACCATATGTGTTGTTCGTTTTCGTATTTACTATTTTTTCCTTATGTAAAAAATATGAGGGACAAATCTATATATACTTCTAACTAGCATTTTGGACGAAAATTATCAAGGACATGATAACATTAATCCATATAAATTCATGAAGGGTATGAGGATAAAAATGAACAAAATAGTTAATTGAGAACACAAGTATGGATGATTATATTGCCACTATGAATTTTTTTGTTACACCACATTTTTAATTATTTTTCCATATTTACTGAATTGGACATAAATAAAATGACACAGTACGTAATGATCTCTTTAATTCTTATGTACACCAAGGCCTCTTAACACCATTAAGCCCTATTTGTTTCTCATTTTTGAAAGAATGAGAATGAAAAATATAGTTGTTACGGGCTCTATATAAGAGATAAAAATTCAAATTTGGTGGCTTGATGTGATGAATAATGGTCATATTTTTTATTTTAATGAGAAATGAATGAGAACCAAACAGGGGCTAAACTTCCTTTTTCTTCTCTTTTTTATTTCTTTATCTTTACTTAGTATTATAATTTTTTAAATATGATCCGAGTTTCTCTTATTTTTAATCATACTATTAGTTTTTTTTTTTTTTTTTGATATTTTTATTTTATTTAACGAGAATGGGTTCTTGAATCTAATGACAATTTCATTTGAGTTTCTACGTGTCCTTGGATATAAATTAAGCATTCTTATTTCACCAGGAAATTAGGAATTAGTCCTTTTCAAATATCAATTAGAAGATAATCTATGGACGTTTGAAAATCAAGAGTAAAAAAACTCAAATTCTTATTCCAATAATAAAAATCCTCCTACAAATAGCCATATCCATGAAATAATTCAAAGAGAAACACTTTCATTTATCATTATCACTTTTCTTGTAGGTACAAGTTAGAAAACAAACAATTTTATTTTTTATTATTTATTCATTTTTCCAAATGTAAACAAACCATTCATTTGTCTTTGTGAGAGAGAGGTGTACCAGTGTACCACTTATTTGTTAAATGGACTAGGCTGTATCAATAACATAATTGTAGTGTATTTATCAAAAAAATTTAATTATAATGAATAAATAAAAATTGATATGATAATATATTTATTGAAAAAATATTTAGAACTTAGCCAAACTGTCATTCCTATATTTTTTACTCTGTCAAAATAATTTAATTTTGTTTAAAAAACTATTCATCTAAATTTGACGTTGTTAATAGCTAAGTGCTTGTTTGGTAGAAATTTTAATAATTGATTTTTTCACAGTTAGAGATAAAGTGAATTTTACTTGAGAGAAAAAAATTCAAAAATAACGATTAAAATAATGAAATAACGATAAAAAAATTGATTTTAATTAAATTAAAATCCCAAACAAACAAGCTCTAAAGCAAAACGCTGAATTGGATATTTCTCGGCGGCTTCGATAACTCCGATGGATGACACGCTTTAACTCACTTTTGCAGAGTCTCATAAAACTCCATTCCTTTAACCCACAATTATAGATTTTAAATTTTACTGGCAAGGAATTTTTTTCCTTTTATATTAGTCGTATGATATAGGTCTCTAAATACTATCTGTAAAGAAAGGAAATTGGGAAAACAGATATCCATGGCTGACCCTTCCGAGGATTTGGACCAGCTTCTTGACAGTAAGAAAACCCGTCTTTCTTTTTGAATCTTATATGTGTGTGTGTGTGTGTGTGTGTGTGTGTGTTTGTATATATCTGTGTCCATACATAAATACTAAATACACACAAAGAGATATAAACACAGCCAGAAAGTGAATTTTATGTTTTTTGAACATTTTGCAGGTGCTTTGGATGATTTTCAGAACCTCAATCTCACCTCTTCTGCTCAAAGGTCCAACTTTTATTTGTTTCTATCACTTGATGTATAGCTATCTGTATGTGTACATGTATAATATCATAATTTAATGTTTTAGGGTTTAGTTTTTTATTTTGATTTTGAACAATGACTGAAAAGGATTGTTACTCTTCTGTTTCTTTCATTTTTGGGTTTATAGAGGTGTGAGTAATGAAAAGATTGATGATGGTAAGGGACAGAAGAAGCAAGATAGTTCATCTTCACTGTCAAGTGGGGGTGTTCAAGGATTGGGGATGGGGTTGCCTGATTTGAAGAGTAAGAAAAAGGGCAAACAAAAGGTAGCAAAGGGGGAGTCCCATGTTTCTGAGGCTCTTGATAAGCTAAGAGAGCAAACGAGGGAAGCTGTCAAAGGTTTAGAGTCAGTGACAGGTCAGAAACTTCCACCGGGTGGAGAAAATTTCGGGAATGATGCGATGATTGAGGATTGGGTTAAACAGTTTGAGGAACTTGCTGGCTCTCAGGTTGGTGTTCTTGCTGTATTTTCTTGAATTCATGTTTTTTGTGCAAATATGAATTGCTCATTCATTTGAACGGAAATGATTGTTATTTTTAGTTCTGATTTGACATGTGTTGTAATGTTAAGGTTAATGTAGTTTCTTGTATATCTAGTACCTTGTTAGCAAGTCTATTATGTGGAAGTTTTCTTGTTTGTAAATGGATCAAGAATGTGGATGATCTTTGGCTATTATTGCCTTTGTGCATATACAGATACTTTGTTGGCGAATCAGAATGCCAAATTTTACTTCTTGTATGCGATCTATGTAAATCTAGAAGAGGAAAATGTACATCATTTGATGCCTAAGCAACAACATAATCTGAAGATGTTGATGCCTAAACCGGTAATAGTTTCATTGTTAATTTTTTGTTTAATACCATAGGAAGGTTCTGGCATCCCCATCCTTGAAGACTTAATTGGTGCATTAGAATCTCTCTTATAATTATCTAGAGGCTCTATTTGGTATGTAAGGAAGTTGGATGATATGGAAGGGGAGCGGGGTTACTTCACTTTTTGTAAAATAAATAGGAATCAGATTTTGAGAGAGTGAATTGGACGATATCAATAGTCACTTATCCTATTTCTATGTGTTATCAGATGTTTGAAAAAATATTGTATATGAAACTGGGTTATAATATATTATCAAAATTTTCAAAAGATGGTAGTGGCAGCAAGAAGAGTGTGTAATGGCAGTGGCCGTAGTTGATCACAAGTGGGGTTTGTAGAATTCTAATTCAGAACACGAGATTTACAACTGGTGTTTCAAATGATATACATTTATGAAATTGGGAAATAGTTGTTGATCTACCTGTAATTTCAATGAAGATTCTACCCAAAATTTATGAGTTGATTTTAGCATGTTGAAACTCTACACGAGGAATCTATTTCCTTTTAGCTAATACTTCTTCCTCAAACACCAAATATTTCACATTCCAATTGATTCTATTATTGATATTATATTTCTGTGCTTGTTTTTGCAAATACGCCTGCCATTCGGTTTTGGGGACTTGTAATAGCTGAATCCACTTCTACAAAGTTAAAATGTTTGTTCCTCCAAGATCCCTAAAAAAGAATTACTGCTCTTTACCCATGCTAATTGCTTCCTCTTTTTCTCATCACCACCATAAATATTGTTGCCAATTTCTCAGATGTTTATTGAAATGCCACCTCATCTCTTATTGGTCTATTACCACTAAATTTTTCACTTCTGAAAATTTTGCATGTCCATCCCACAAATTTCCGTGGACTTAATGATTCACTGACTGCTTCAAGTGTAAATCCAGTTAATTTCATTTCTGCTGATGCTTTCTATAAAATTCTTTTTTTTTTTGGGGTGGGCGGTGGGGTTTATCTCTCACCACATATGTATAGATGGAGAGGAATAGACATATGACCAACTACAGCCTTTGCTGAACTAGGACTGTTTGTTGAAGGCATCTTCACGGGGCATCAAGGTTCATGAATTCCTTCTTCCCCCTTAATAATGATCACGCCACCTGAAGTCTGTTTACTCTATCACCTTGTTTATTGAAGATGTTCCCTATTTGTACGCCAAGAATCTAGCTGTTACATGCATTTTTAGTGGCTATTTTTGTATACAAGATCTTTGAACCTGGAAGGAGATGATAGGCAAGCTAATAAGTTGCACTTAGTGGAGGGGGGAGCTTTATTCCAAATTTCCAATTCACTTACACAAGTCAATTTAACAGGCAAGACTGTAAGATAAGTGTTATAGTCAGATGGGGTTCAATCTTCCATTAATTAAGTAAACAAAGGCAAATTGAAGTAAGTAGCCAGACTGAAATTTACTCATGGAGATAATGCAATGGAAAGCTATACATTTTTGTGTCTATTAAAATCTATGATACAGAAACGTCATTCCTTGAATTTTTTGGTTTTCTAGGATATAAGTTGCACAAGCATGCATGGGAGCATTTTTGTGTTACCTTGGCTATATCTCTTTTAGTAATTTTTGGAGGTTAATTTTGCCAGCTTGTTACTTAAACCCCACTGGGGATGTCAAAATTGAGATTTGCTCAACCTTTTGCCCCCTTGCCACTGCTTATGCAATATCTCAATCTTCTATATAATACTATTCTTGGGCGTAAAGTGGTAAATATCTATATTATTGTTTTGTAGTTGTGGCTGGTAGATATCTTTGTCGGTAATGGAACAATCAGCAGGAATTCTCTTTTTTCTGTCTCTCTTTCTTCCCAACTATAATTGCGAACATCTTCCAGTAACACCTTGTAATGTAGAAGAATATACAGAATGATGCCATGAATTAGAAAAACGTCACTTTTGTTAGATTATTATACGAATGATACTTATTCTCTCTCTCTTTCTTTGGGTCTTTTAGATCATGGTGAATAATATATAGATTTGCACATTATCGTTGACATGCCATTTGTAATAAAAAAGTAACTTATGCAACAGTGTTACTTAAGAGTAAGTTTAAGTTACTTTAAACTTAGTCTAACATTTTCCGTGTCCTTTCTTTTTCCCTATAATGACAAACTTACACTTGATAAAAATGAGTATCCATTGCTTTTGTCTTATTTTTATAGGATATGGAGTCAATGGTGGAGACCATGATGCAGCAGCTTCTGTCAAAGGAAATTCTTCACGAACCTATGAAAGAGATTGGAGAAAGATATCCGAAATGGTTGGAAGACAATAAACCAAGCTTATCCAATGAAGAATATGCACGTTATTTCCACCAGTATGAGCTTATAAAAGACCTAAATCAAGTTTATGATAGTGAGCCAGATAACTTCAACAAGATTGTTGAGCTCATGCAGAAAATGCAAGAGTGTGGTCAACCACCCAATGACATTGTGCAAGAGCTTGCTCCAGATTTTGATCTATCAAATCTTGGACAACTGTAAGTGCAATATGTGATTGCTTCTTGCCGTTTAAACATAATTCATTTATAATGTGTTAAGTGCTGCTAATGATACCGGAGTCATGTCAGATTTGTTATTAAAACCTAGATCCAATATGTTTTATAGGTCAAACTCTAGTAGCTTTTTTTTTTTTTTTTTTTTTTGGTGGGGGTGAGGGGGGGGGCAGTCATGTCATGGACCAAGTCGTATCTTTGCCCTGCTCTAGTGGTGGGCCAGCCCTAGGCACGTCCTGGACATAGACCATGCTATGTCGTGCCCAACTCTAATGGAAGGTCAGCCCTAGGCACGTCCTAGTCCCGGTCCCAGCCACGGCACAGATTTGTGCCTCTAATTTGTTTTAACCTTGTCAGTACTTAAAATTAGCAGACGGTGAGGATAAGGTTTTATTTAGTAGCTGACTTGCGGTTACACATCAGAGGGTTACTCTTAGTCATCCAAAATATTCATGTGTTGTAGCTTTTGGGTTCTAGTTTGGTACCGAGATGAGATTTTGTTGGTGCCAATTTTTCTTTGGAAATAGTCGTAGTATCTGACGCCAGGGGTGGACCCAGACGACTTGGGTTAGGGGGTGATCGTTTGTATTATTTTTTATAGCGTAGAGTACAGTTTTTTTTTCCTATTCCTTTTTATCTTTCCTTATGCACTTCGCAAGTGGAGTAGAAGCATAAAGAATTATAAGAATCTTATTGTGACGAGGGATGGAAGAATTAAATATTTTAATTATTCTATTTGTAGTAATGATATATGAGGCATGTAGGTTGCTTCTATTTACATTAGTAGATTACAATTTGTTATGTAATTATTAATTTGAGAACTTATAATGTGTTTTTATTTTTAGTTTGTTCGCAAGTTATACTATTAATTTCATCTTTTTATTGATTTTCAAGATGTTTTATGATTTATTATGAATTTATGGTTATATTTTTATACTTTTATATTCTTTTGAATTATTTTACAATTACAGGAAATCGATACTCAATTAAGCCTTTTTAGATGTACGACAACCAAAATTACAATATATCTTTCATGGAAGTAAGCATGTTTACTAGAACTTACATGGGACGTATGCGTAATTTTCTTGTAACTGATATCTTTGTGCAACCTGTTGGACTAAAATGCAATTGTCGACTATTTCGTCAACCGTAACCATGTGTGGATGCATTAAAAGATCTCGATTGAAGTCAAGTTAAAGAGAGGCGAACATCAACCCCTCAAAGGTACTGATTGTAATGCAGTAATTTGATGCGCATGCTTCAGTTGAGTAAGGCACACTTCTTAAGGCTTGTGAGACACGTTCCTTAATTTTATTAGCTTATTTATTTTGTTTTAAGTGTGTGCCTACAAAACATTAAAAATTATGATTGACCCCCTTTTGGAAACCTGCTAAAGTTTACCAAACTTTTAAAGATTGTACGTATTTTCTGATTAACCCACCTTGGGAATCGACTAGTACTAAAACATTTAAAGACTGTGTTCCTTAAAGACCTATTTTGGTAATAATCTACTGTCCTACCAACTAAAGTAATAGTTTCTTTTTTGTTACTTTGTAATTTTATTTATTTATTCATTTTATATTGTTCTATTATGAATTTTGAAGACCGTTTATGATTTATTATACATTTATTTTGCATTTTAATAATTATTTGACATTTTTTTGGGTTTATGGTGAATCTTACGACCGAAAATGCCTCGCGGCTTCTGCCTCGTCACAAAGGAACATTACTTGATTCTGCCTTTTTAAACACACCAAGCTACTCAACCTTGTTCATCTAATTGAACTGCAATTGGATTTTATTAAACCTGGCCGTAGTAGATTAATTAGCATTTTGTTCAATTGCATTTGGCTTTGTTCTGTTCACATCATGTAGTAGTTTTCTCAGTCGCGATCTGTTGATTATGTGTTTATAATTATGCTCAAGCAAGAATATTCTTCTCCTAGGCAAGTTTTTTTGTGCCCCCATTTCCTTTGTTGGCATGCTGGGGTTGGGTTTATAGTTATTACATTGCATCTGAATGCAGATGTTTCTGTCTTTGGAACTTTCACGTTTTGATCATTGGTATCCTTTTCTTTTCTTCTTTCTTCCTTTTCTAGGGTGGGGACAAAGTAATTGAGGTCATTGTTGGCCTTTCGTTTTTTTTTTTTTTTTTACTTATTGAGATTGTGTTCATCACTTCTTTCAGATGAAGGAAATAGCTACAGAGAACTTCCAAAGAATATGTGAAGCCTATGAAATTTTATGTGATCAAAATAAAAGGCAAATTTATGATATATATGGTATGGAAGGATTAACATCTGGTTTGGAGCTTGGTCCCAAACTGAATAAAGTTGAAGAGATCAAGGAAGAACTTGAGAGATTGCGGCGTCAGAAGGAACAAGAAAAGGTCTTAGCACATGTCCAACCTTCTGGTTCGATTCTCGCAAATTTATCATGGCCACAGTTTTTAGAGGGTGATGGCATTATGAGAGGGTATAACTATATTATTTTGCCTTGTTCATTTCTTTTATTCCCTCTGTTCGAATAAAGTGATATTTGTTACTGGTTGGCATTGACTCTTGTAGAAGTCTATTGTGTATCAAGCGAATGTTATGCATTAATGATCATGGTGCTTTATGCTGCTAGAAATTTCTTCTCATCATTCAAGTGTTGAACACAGAAGTAAAGTTTTGACAACTGGTTCAGGATTTGAAAACTATTTTATTCATAATCTACTATATTGGTTGTAATGCATTGTCTTCATTTAGCATACTTTGGGATAAGAGCCAATATCTTGTGCTCATCTTTCTTTTAATGTTTTTATGTATGAACGTCAGGATGGCCATGGCCAGTGAAGTTCATTCTAAAATGTCCAAACACAATGCCATTTCCTTGGGCGGTAATTTGGCTGTTAATGGGAATTCTGGTGGTGGTGCTGCATCGGTGGTCCTTAGGCATCAGATGTCTTCAGTTTCTTCTGTAGAATTCATGGGTTCTCTTGGTTTGCGAGCACTAATCGGAATTCAAACTTCTCGGTAGGGTGATGGTCCCTAATGTTTTCTCATATTTAGCTCTTATGTCTTGAGTGACTTGTTGTTGGCTTTTTTATTTCAGCCAATTGTCTCTTCACTCTACTGCAACAATGGGCTTTGCCATGTCTTTGAGAGATGGTTCAATTAATCTTTCTAATACATGGACTCGTCAACTCTCAGAGACAACAAATGGAAATGTAAGCTTTTTCTCTGTGGCACAAGATGGTTCCTGCACGCATGACGAGTATGACTAATCTTGGAGTAGTTTCTACGTTTCTAGGCTTCCATGAGCCTGTTTACCATCTAGATATATGATGGGAAGTTTGTATAGTTGGCTTCTAATTAGTCTCTACCAATTTGTATGGGTCAAGTTGAAGCACATGGCTAACCATATTTTACAGCTTCTCTAAATTGTTTTAAGCTATATATTGACTTTTTCTTTTTGTAATTATAATAATTATTTACTACATTTTCCACCTTCCAGATAGAACTTATTTTAGGTCCAGAGTCGTCTATAGGTGTTGGATGGCAAAAGAAAGAGCAGAAAAGTGCTGCGTCCGGAGAGATTAAGGTAGTACTTCTATTTTTCTTGTACTGCATAAATTATTTTCACTGCTAACTGCAGCATATGTACTTTGAAAGTACTGATTGTTTTTCCTTATTCTTAGGATGAAAACTAAGAGATGCATGAAATTGTATGTTAATAATGGAAGTTGAGATATGATTCTTATGATTCTAGAAATTCGAAGATTACTAAGTGTTTTTCACGTATTATTTTTGATATTATCAAATTAACATGTTTGTCATCTTGTCAATTCTAGCATAAAATAATGCACGATCGATCATTTACTAGAGTTCTCACAAATTTGATTTTCTGAACTGTTTCTTTGAATGGAAACTTTATTGTAGTCAATTAATATGCCAGAATACCAAACCAACTCTTGCTTCATGAGTTTTTTAATCTCACCCAGGCGACAATGCTGAATGATATGATTGAAATGATAAGTTCTGTTGTGTTTTTTCACCTGGCAAAGGGCTAACCGATGTATATATTGCAGTAATGCTTGCGCAGTTTTTTTGGTGTGGGAATTTCTTTGAGAAACTAGTTCACATATCTTGATTATTTAGCAAATAAACTCACACACACACCCTCACACACACACACACACACCCTCACACACACTCAGACAATTAAACCATGTGTGTCAATTTTCTTATCACTACAAATTTCTTGAAAGACTTTTCACTATCATCCAACTAGTTGATATACTTTTGCTAGCTAGTGCTTGCTCATCCGGTATCTGAACAACACAAAGAACAATCATGTGATTTATCTTTATGTGCTTTTTCAGCTGTAGTATTATATATGCTAGAATCCATTTATTAGAACTTAAGATGATGAGAAAAAGATTTTCCTATAACTTCTGCTGAGAAATTATTTCATTTTTCCATGCTTTCCACTGCTTGGTAATATCCTTGGAATAAATATACTCCCTCCGTCCCAATTATATAGGATTGGTTCATTTTTCACACGGATTAAGAAATCTTCTTTAATGTCATTGGTAAATTAATTTTTGCGAAGATCTTTCGTAATTTACCCCAATTTAATTTTCAGAATGTAGTAATAAATTATTATTAGAATTAGTAAAAGAATTTTAGTGATTTAATTTGAAGAAGAAGAAATGAGAGTTGTTACATTTTCCAAGAAGTGAGAATGTGTGTATTTGAATAATCTCAAGAAGTTGGCATATTAAGTGGTGAAAATTGAATAAGGGTATATTGGTAAAGAAATAAAATAAAATATTATAAATTAGGAAACAAGCCTATGTATTTGGGACAAGAGAAAAATGAAACTCAGCCTATATAATTGGGATGGAGGGAGTAGTTTCCACTGGCTAGCAAAATTGAATTTACTATCCCCCTATTTGGTTTAGTTAAAAATTATATTTTTAGTAGATTTTGAGAAAAGTTGATGAAATATGTGATTGAAAAGTTGAGGATCCCATGAAATGTGTGGTTGAAAATTAGTTTGAGTAAAAAATAAGTTTTAGAGAATGGGGACCAAATAGGGGCTATATCTAGTTGGCTGGATTATGGGATACATGCTTCAATCTTATCCAATAAAGTTCTCCCTGAACTCAAAGAATTTATAAATATTTCTATTTAGTTCCATGAACTTTGAGTTAATACTGGAAAATCAGTTTTCTATGAAATTACGTGTTTGCTCTATTTTATAGAGCTCCAGGGAATATCCTCGGGGCCAATCTCCTTCTTCCTGGCTTATTGTTCTGTAACATCTTTTACATGGGCTTACTAGTTCTTGAAAGTTTTTGTTCAGTCTGCATGTTTTACTGATATTTTATCCATCCTCGCCTTAAATTGAGTGTGGGCAAGAAAATTCTGGGTTCAAGCAGCGGAATGTTAAAGCTGTTCATGAGGTTCTGACAGTCACCCAAAAGATTTCTGTCCTTAAGTCACGCTTTTATGATTTTCAGGATTCTATGGGCAGGGGAACATCTTTCATAGGTGCTTCTAAATTTTGGACTTTCTCTGACAAAATTTTTCGTAGTTTGAGCTCTACAGTCTAAATAAGTAATGTACAGGGGGACTTCTCATCTCCTGTAATTTTCTGAAGGCTCAATTGGATTTTGGATTCTGCATTTTCGGTTTGAACTTTCTTCTTAGTGCTTCAACATTTTAGGTTTTATTTTTCAAATAATTATTGCGTGTGGATGTTTTCCAAAGGAAGTGAAGATAATACATAAAGCTTTTTTTTTCATGCTTCCTCGGGGGGGAATAGTGTTTTTTTGATAAATGGACGGTTGTAAAAGAATGAAAAGTTTTCGATTTACATGTTATATTATTTTATTGAAGATTGTGTGAATTGAAAATAGGAGAGAGAAAATTTTAATTTAATTTGATGAGATTTAATGGGGGCCAAGCGGAGGCTTAATAAATGCCATCTCATCATTCATGTTCTTTATATTGTAGATTGGCACAGGTTCTTTTGGCGCAGTGGGCCATTACACCCACCGCTTCTCCTCAAAATCTCATGGGCGAATTGCAGGCAGAGTTGGAAGGTAAGGCTGTTGATTTTTCTCTCCCATGTTATTTCCTAAAAATGACCAATTACCTTATTCATGTTTGCATAGTTAACATAGACTGCAAGTTCTGCTCCCAGGGTGTCAATATATTGTATATAAGGAGTGGAGTCTCATGGAAAAAAATTGGTGTGGAAAATGATATATCTTTATATGTTCTTGGTATTTGGCTCAATTTATATATTAGTCCATGGTCTCTCTCTCTCTCTTCTTTTTTTTTCTGCGATTGTGAAACAAAGAGTATCATTAAAAAATAAGCTATCATGTGTGTATATATATTGTCATGTAGTAAACACGAGCTGAGCCTTTATCGGCTGCTTTTGTTTCAGGATTGGGCTAACTGGCTGAGTTTAAGCGAATATATCCGCACTTGTTAATATTCACCATGTATTGAGTTAATTAGTTATCTTACTGATGTTAGAAGACAGCTCCTTAATGGTAAAATCTATATTATACTCCAATAATGAGCGCATTGGACAAATATCATCCTGTGATAGACTGCTTCTGTGTATATTTTGACTAAGATTTTCAAACTCCAGACGAAGGGAGAAAAAATTAATAAGATCTTCAAAAGTGCCTATTTGGGAAACCAAAAAGAAAATTATCAGATGCCAAAAAGTTCATTTGTCTGTTTATTCCCCATTACCGTTGACAGAGATTTTTGTTTAGATTAAAACAGCACATAATTTATTAGTTGCTTTCATTTGGGAAAACACATTTCCATCATTTATGGGTTTATTGTCAGCTTCTCTTTTTAAATCCAAAGCAAACCTTCTGCGAGAAGTTTGCCAGTCTCTCTCCTGAGCACATTCTCTGAGAGTCGAAATGTGAATGGCTGTGGTGCAGGTCACCAAAGTTGATATGTACCACAAGCCCGAAGCAAACACACATCTCCTTGATCACCTAAATACAGTTATAAGAACTTGATTTCTTTGTAGTCTTTTAGCACCAGCTTTGATAAGATCCCTAATATACTTGCATCTGTATGCATAGAAAATTGATCAGCTTTTGAACACATGATCTAAAAGCTTAAATTGTATTTCATTTAAATATCGTCTTCAATACGTTCCTTCATGTGTAGCCGAAATTTATTTTTTCCAACCAAAGCCCTACACTTGCACAATTTTATAAATGGGTGTTAGCAAGACTTGAACTCGAGATATTTGCTTGCTCTGATACCATGTTAACGTACTTGATTTAAAAGCTTAAGCTATGAGATAGGACGATCGAATGGTTTAAATATTGTCTTTTAACAAATTACATGTCTCAATTTTTTGTTGTCCTTTGCTAAAAATCAAATTGTATTGACCTTGGGAGTTGGGACTACTTTGTCCGCACCACCAACTACTTGTTACCAAGAATTCTTGCTTTTGCTTTCGAAGTCATATATACATATATGAACCATTGATTTAAAAAGTGAATCTTTAATATCACACAACATAGAAGTTGATTGAATATAATTTAATAGCTTTGCTTTGAATACTATTTTCAAAATCTTCCCATCCCTTTCAGTTTCGGTTTCTTTCAGAAATTCTAGCAGTAAAAATCATATAGGCCTGTCAACTGCTGAACATTTCCAACATTGATAAATAACCTGAATATTTTGCATGCTATGGTAGAGAAATACATCCACACCATCAGTTGTGGGCTTTTTGATTTTTGGATTAGTTGTTGCTTCAATACTACGTGATGAACATTTGATTTTAGTTTTCTTTCATGTGAGATGTGAAATCCAGATTTCATGATAGTTTTTGAGTATCTGTTTTGTGTAACCTACAATTCATTCACATTGTCAACATTTTTTGGCCAAGATAACTGGTTGGGCTTCACAATTGCGACATTGTGGTTGCTGTTTCAAAATACAATAAAGGGATTCCTGGAATTTCAGGATGGAAGAAAGCCTTTCAACCCTTCTATATCTTTTATATCAGAAGATTCTTTTTGTGCTTGCACTGTTATTCAGATATTTCAATTAGACTTTTCCTTGTGTTTGTGACATTTATCTGTTTTTGCAGTAGTGGGCTTGAACTTGAAGTAGGGGGTGGAAGAAAGATATCCAACTTCACAACCATTCGGATGTTGTATACAATAGGACTTCAGGTGAATCTATGAAGTTCACACATATTTCAGAAAATTGTACCGTTCTTTGTAGTTATATGTCATAATTAGAAACCTTCATATTTAAGAAGTGGGTGACAGCAAATCCTTGTTTCATTGACTAGAAAAATGTTTGGAACAGTATCAAGGAGTACTTCAGCAAACCAGATTTTGTCTAAAAGCATGTTTGGAGGTTATTTATAATCGATTTAGATTATGAATATATAGGAATAAGTGAAGGATAAATGGATAAAACTTGTGGATCCCACAAAATATGTGGATAAAAAGTGGTTTGGCCGATTATAAATAGGTGTCAAACAAGAGCTATATCTGCTTAATGCTGCTTCCTTCACATTGCATTTCAGTTATGAGATCTGGTTTCCTGTACATGTTTTTAGCTCATATATTAGGTCCCTTCCAGTATTCGACTTCTTACTTTTTAACTTTATTACTGCTAGGGAATTTTTTGGAAATTTGAACTTCATCGTGGAGGACAAAAGTTGATTGTTCCTGTAAGTGCATTCTCAAACTCAGTCTGGTTCTTGTAGTTGTGGACCCGTTCAAATGACCCGCGTGGAACTTCTGTTCCATAAATTTGCTTCTCTCCTTGCATTTTACCAGTTTTAACACATACTGATTGAGGTTCCAATTCTTCTGGCTTTCTACTGCCTAAGACGAAATGCTCTTCTTGTTTTGTAAATGTTAGAATGTAATCACATAAGTTTTTTAAACAGAAGGAATAATGCTGAAACTTTATGAATGAGAATTTATTTTGTACAGAAACAAGAATTTTATTAACAGAAAAGTGAAAAAAGCATTACATGCAATTCAGAGCACAAGGCATGTCTTCTAGCCGGAAAATGCAACTCTAAATATCTAATCCAGCTGAGAGTTATCAAGTAAAGGAAATTATTGAAGTTTTTTGTTGATCCAGAGCGAAGATAGAAATTAGCCTTGCCCCATTCAGAGTTGAGACAATAGTGTAATTCTTTTCCTTTAAAAATTCCACTATTCCTTCCAAGCCAAATAATAAAAGATGCTGATGACCCCATGCTCTTCAACACAAAGAAGCATTCTTCCCTGATCCAAAATCAACTGATTATTTTACTCGTTGAGGGGCATTATTTTCCAAATAAAGATTATGGCTGAAAAAGGGAGACTTTTAGGGTCAATCAGAGCATGAAATAAGAGAGACCTAGAAGAATTAAGGACCACAGCCTCTTTCGCCCTTATGAATGGTTAAGAAGATCCCTCAATATATTTATACGCTCGAAAACTTCAATTCTAATCTAGATAGTTGCTTGAAAGACTTCTTTAATGGAACCTTTGAGGATAATCTATCATCACTGTTTAAAAAAATTATTTGAGGTTTCTGCCTCCAATCCTGCCTCATGTAAGGTTTCCATAATATGCCTCGAATCTTGCTCCTTAAGTGCCTTTCATGAGGCTTATGCCTCAAGGTGACTAGTTGTTAGTTCATTTGTCCTCACAAATTTTAGATCTTTATTACATGCCTTAACTTTTGGGCTGTCTATTTCATTATAGCCTAAAATGTTTTACAGATTCTTTTATTTTTCATTTTTTGCCTACACGAAAGGAAAAGGAGAATGAAAAATACCAACGTAAGTGGAAGATAACTCAAAAGGAGAAGAAACTTATAGTGATGATGAGAATGATGTTTGATGATTTCATTAAAGATCATATTAGTGAGATATTAGAAATTTAGATTTATTTCTATCCTAGTAACGGATTATAATTTTTTTACGTAATTCTAATTGAGAACTTATTATTTCCTATTTTAAGTTTGTTTTGAATTTTGAATTTTGTTTGTTAGTTGTATATGGAATTTTAAGATGGCTTATGATTTATATGAGTATACTTTTGTATTGTGAAATTCTTTTAAATTATTTATTGGTCTATCTCGAGGCTTATGCCTTAAATTGCCTAGAAGCTTACACCTTGTACCACTCGGGTACGCAATTGTTCCTTTTTAAACATTGTCTACGGTGTCTAGGTAAAGCATAATATAATGAAGTAGAGTCTTTCTAAATGTACTTCTATGAATGAGCCCGTGTTTGGCCCCCTTTAAATCTCATCAATTTAAATTAAATTTTTCTCTCTCCTATTTTCAACCACACAAACTTCAATAAAATAGTATTACACACGTAAATCGAAAACTTTCATTCTTTTACAACAACTCATTTTTCAAAAAAACACTATTCCTCTCATTATAATTCAATTTAATGGGGGCCTAACGGGGGCTGAATCTTATCAACCATACAGCGATACCAACCTTCCACAATGAAATATAGAAATGTGTTAATTCTGTGATAAATGAACTCCCAATGACTTCTAAACGAGCCTCTTGAAGGTACGCTAGATATTCATCTGTTTATTTGAATTCATATTTTCTTCTAATGACCTAAACCCGAGAGAGTTCTGTTCAGTGGGTGTTAGAGGTGAATTTTAAATTTTTATTTACTAGATTTTCTGTTCTCAAACCCCCTTTCTCTTTACTTTTAACAATTTAATCCAAGGAACCAAGAAATTGGTCTGACCTTCTCCTTTTCCTTCCCACAACAAAATCCCTCATTTTTTTTTTCATATTTGGAGAGAGCTTCTTACGTATCTTAAATAGGGGTTATAGTATTACACAAATGCTAGATAGAATTGAGGTGAATTTGGTTTCCCTCCATAAGGTAGCCTCAAATGCTTCATAGCCAGTCCCCCACCAAGGTTAGCTACTCTATATTTATCCCAAACTCCACAGTAGCTTCCATTTGAATACCATGAGAACACTACTTTTTTTTTTTTTGACAAATTGACATGCTTTTAATTTTATGGCAGAGATACAAGTCTAAGGTGAAAGATTCATGTGCACAATGGCACAGTTAGACAAAGATCTCGTTTTTCTGCAATTTGCATAATCAGATTAAAAAAAATTAATGGGAAGATTCGTAGTCAGTCAGATTTGTTTAAATTCCCATCTTGACCCCAAAACTCCATTAACCTTGACCAGTTCAGTACGCAATTTTGGTCTATATTTTTAATTGTCTTGGAGTTCTTTAATAGTTTTGGTCTTCTCTCGATTTGTCTGCCATAATTACTTACCCAGATGCTGCCTTGGTGATGCATCCTTGCTTGTGCAAAATTATAAAAAAACATTTTGATCATCATATGGCATTTAGATTCAATGACTGGCTATGCTTACATAAATGTGGACAATTATTATGTTGCTATTATCTGAAGTAACATAAACATTTCTGGCAAACACATATAACCTTGACATGCATCGCTTAGGTGGGTTACCAATACCTTTTGGGGAAGATATATTGTATTTTCTCTTGCTAATTATTATAACTTAAGAGTTGTTTTATCTCGTACTACTACTATCAGAAAACATAAGTTTATGTAATACTGATATGCTATTTCTTGTAGATTTTGCTCTCCAATCATTTGAACCCGGTATTTGCATCTGGAGCACTCGTCATTCCAGCATCACTTTATTTTACGCTCAAGGTTTGGATTCTAGTCTCTGAAATTTAATGGAGTATATCAGTTAAAATTTGGCCTCTGCAAGATGTTTAAGAACAAATGGTAGACTGTGGTGCATGTCAAAGTAAATAGTTTTATTTGATATTATCATTTTTTGAATTTGCCTTCAGAGGATTTTGATTATTTATGTTGCAAATAACTTGCACATGCTCAAGATGCTTCACAATGAAGGGACCCATTTTATAACATGTTGAAATTATTTGAATTTTTAGATTATTCATTTCTTGTTATGAGTTTTTACTTACTAATGGATGAAACTTCTCATGATGGCAATAAATTGAATATGCTTGCTGCTTTGGAAAGTCGTGTCCTGCTGCACTGTCAATTATTGATCACAACCAATGAAAAGCGTCTTTTAAATTTTTTATTTTGTTTCACCTTGTGAGTATCCAATTGTTTTATTGCATTCTTTTCTTTACTTGCAGAAATTTATTTTTAAACCATATTATCTTAGACGGGAAAAGCAGAAGTTTTTGGAAAATCTTGAGAAGACTCGAGACCAGGTACACTATTACATATCCTTTTAGGTTGTTTTTGTATGTTGTCTTGTGCATTTCTTAATTGTGGATGATTTTATCAGACATGATCAAGGAACCAAGCTCTTTGTAACCTTCTTAAGGCATATATTATAAATATGCTCCTTAGTTTTACTGCAATTACTCTGTAACATGAAGCTCATATTACCTTGTTTTGGTGGATTGTGAAATGGCTGAGATCCCAATGAATATCAATTGCATCAAACAAATGATTTTATTGAATTAATATACAGTCAATCAGGTCAATACTCTGAACAGTACCGTATAGGTTGCTTCAATTTTCTGTGGAACATATATATTCTGAGTTCCTGGACACATTCAATCAAGTCAATTTGTTGTGTAAAATTAATTAGCATTTTAAGTGGTAATTAGCTGCAACATATTTACTCTGTAGATGCCATGTAGGCTGTATTAATTATCTGTGTTGTATTAGTGAAAGTAAAAATAATTTGCCTGTCAAGGGGTAGTGGGAGCTGAGATTCTATAATTTTTTATGATTCTGAATCCCCCCCCCCCCCCCCCCCCCCCCTTCATCTTCCTTTTTTTTTTTTTTTTTTTTTAATTTTTCCCCCCCCCCCCCCCCCTCCCAAATTTTTGCCTTTCATTTTCTTTTACTAATTGAATACTGATCCTGCTGTTCTAACATTTGATTAGAATAATAATAAGTGGAGTTATGCTTCAAACATCATAATATCTTAATTTTGAAAATGGAATGAAGGATACATTCATTGTCATGTTAAAATGGCAACTATGGTGTTACAAAATTGTCATGTCACAACCAGCTTTGAGCATCACAGATCCTCAGTATAATTGGCAAAACATTTTTATTCTGATTTAGGTAAACTACCTTTTTCCTTTGAAATTCAAAAGGTCATAGTTGTAACTCCTTCAATGAGATATCCTTATTGTGTGACTGCAAGTAGCAAACCTCGTTTTTTTTTCTCCCTTTGGTATTCAGAATAAGGCCATTTTTATTTTTCCTCATTAGATGGATTTATGATCTTGTTCAATTGTTAATTACTGTTCTTGTAGAATATCCCTTTATAGGCTACTAAACTATTGATTTGTTTATTGCTTCTGCATGGTGCAATTTATTAATTGGTCCAAATTGGTTTAAAGTCATGTTTTGCTAATTTTAGTTGTAGGCAGAATGTTTGAAGACACCAACTGCTGCTGGGGTAGTCAAGAGACTCTATTTTTGTTGCCTTGTTAATTATGCTGGTTGTCTGTATCTTAGCCATGTCAATACCAATATGTTCCTCCCCCAACCTGATCCATGGACCCTTCTTTTGACTTGTATATCTTCTGCATAGGTTCGAGAGGCTAGGGCTGCAGCCGAGAAAGCTCAACAACTATTACAAAATGTGGCGAATAGGAAGAGGAACAAGCAACTAGAGATGGGTGGATTGGTGGTGACAAAGGCAGTTTATGGAAATCGCAAAGCTCTAACGACTAGAAATAGACCCGAAGAAAATGTTGATGAAGTGGCTTCACAAATCATAGATGTTACATTACCTCTTAACTTTCTCATTGACGAATCTGGGCAACTTAAGGTTTGTTTATTATATGACCTCTTGAATATATTTTGTTTGTGAGTGGTGATCAATGATCACCTTATTGTTCCTATTTTGGTTCCATTCCACCATGAAAATGTGAATATGCATGTGCTTAGTTGTATCCAGTGTTTTAAAAGGTGAAAAGGAAAGGTGCAGTGTCCTTACCTTCTGCAAGATGAACCACGTCCTGCGGCGCAATATATGCACAACTCTGTTCTTTTCACATATCTAAAATAGTAAATATGTATGGAATTGCAGAAAATGGAATATTGCCAAATAAGGACATAATATTACAAATTAACCTGATCGGAAGTCAAATGAAAAAGACATAAATAGTAAGTATTGATCTAGCATTCCTGGTATTAAATTGTGGGTCAACATGATATTAGAACACGCGAAGGTTTCAACTTCAAGTTTCGCCATCACCCATTAAATGAGATTGTGAATGTGTTAGGCTTTGGCGGGAAAAACGCCCATCTACGTTTAAGGGGGCTTGTTGAATGCAAAAATATAATAATATACATGTGGCTGGTCCTCTATAATAGTTTAAACTTTTAGATTAAGTGATTCAACAAAAAGTATTTAGTTTTCAACTAAAAAAGAAGCCTCCTCTTCTGTTTTGTTCTTTTTAAGTTTCTTGTTTAGCATTTCGAAGCCCTTTGTTGAGTTTCCATTTTATGGCATTTCCCTTGGTCATGTTGTGTTAGAAGAGGCACATCCCAAGGTTAGTCTCTCCAACTGAAGCATACAACTCACAGGACAAACACCATACTCCACTGCCCACACCACCGCAATGTGTTGAGCTTGAAACCAAGCATTAGACTAGCCTTTTATGACTCTCTCCCCCTCCCCCCCCAAAAAAAAAAAAACACGTGTGTGCATCTATTTATGTGGTTCCATTTGTTTTCATTTAATTGTTTGTAGATGTCAAAATGTAATGGTTTAATATCAAAGAGACGTGATGGTAGACTGAAATGGTTTATCTCAGCTATCATATTCTAATATTGCATAGGTGTTTATGTGATTTTGATAGGAACAGATGAAAGAACTTATGAATTTTATAACTGGAAGCAATACATAAAATAAGAAACTGCACTACACCGTTGACCACTCTTTTCTCAATATATATTTTCTACCCATCC